CGACACTGAAAGTCGGAGTCGGGGCTTGAACAGTCAATCCTTCGATTTCAGGGCAAAATCCTACATCCAACGCCACTGTCGCCCTTGTTACTCTCCTGGTCAGAAATTACAGGTGCTGACCAGGATTGATGCTTCTCCCAGTAAATCTTAATGTCCACAAATCATGAAAGAAAGAATATTTTAGTACAAAGATTGATGTTTAAAAAGGAATTGTAGCGGACCAGCCAAGGACCAGCCAACTGCCCATCAAGGAAAGTGGGGAACTTTGGAATGGCTACTGCTGTACATGCATCATGTTGGCCGATTGAGTGCAGCTTTCAGCAGCAATACCTGGAGTTCAAGTGAAGCATTGCTGCTCCCTCCACCTTCATTGTTAATGTTTTGTTTGGTTTGTTAATGAATAGTTTCTTTTCTGTAAAATGAGACCTGAGTACCACTTGTTATCGCTATTATCTTTATCATCCAACGTAGGAAGGTAAAGAAATAATTCAGCAGAACGTACCATTGATCAATTCAGTTAATGTTAAACAAACGGTTTTGGCCTTAAAAATAACTGGATCTGTTGATCTCTGGTCTCTTAATGATTATAATAGATACTGAAGTTATACAAAAACATTAAATTATAGCTTAATTATTCCAACAGAACTGTAAAACAGCTGCTTTTTCTTTCTTCTGATACACTGGTATTTTAAACGTGGAAGAAAAAAAAAACTTGGATATGTTTTCACTCTTTATTTTTGCTTAAATATCTATAGGTGCATCTGAGAGACACTATTCTCTATCATCCTTGAGAAATAATTAGGAAAGTATAAATAAAAGAATGTAAGATTTGGCTTTCCCAAATCGAGATCGGACATTTGCCACAAATTGGCCTCTTATTAGGAAAACATCTGTTCGACCTGAATGAGTTTCCCCTCACGGGAAACCCTAAGTGTTGATTCTTTTATGCAGATATAGATGAAATGGTAAACCTTAGCATGTTCAGGAACGAGGGACAACACTGGGCTCGGGGTTCAGTTGGGGTAAAAGGAGGATAAATGGGGCTTGAGAGAGAAGGGAAATGAATACGGAGGAACTGAGGAAGGAGGTGATAAATGACAAGATCAACAGATAGAGGCAGAGATGGTGGGAAAAAATGTGAGAGAGACTAAACTAAAGGGTTTGAGAAAGACGTGATGTATGACATGATGAAATGACACACAGGGATACTCTGATCTTTCCAGGCCTGGTGGATTGACTCAGAACATCTTATTAAACATGAGAGCGCACTAGTTCAACAGGAGTGATCCAGTGAAAGAGCGCCTGCTTGTATTAAACAATCTGGAGGGAAATATTACACTGGGATGAGTCATCTCTCTCAGGAGAAACACTGTTGATACAAGCTGGCAGTTTACCTGTTAATATCTCTTGCTGATGCGGCTCAGACAGGATTGCTAGATTACTTACTGGGCTTTGGACATTGGGCTTATTTTCACGGGCAGGATTTATTAGATAGCCCAAGGGAACTCTGAAGCTGGCTCGTTCAATCGGGATTCTTTAACAGATGTATATATAAGCAAGTTTAGGTGAACGTGAAGGCACACTTTGGCACACGGGTAAACAGAGAAAATTACATCCAAATGGCTTGGTACTGTACACGCAGATGTAAAAACAAGCAGACTTCACACCCAGGTGAACAAGTGGAAACACATACTCACAGGCCGTACGGTCTGCCTCAAACACGCGATGAGCAGCAAAACATTTTCTCCTGTCTTACTGTGCGTCATTTACAGCTCAGTTGACCACAGCATCCTGGTGTGAAAGCCAGCAGCAGCAGCAGCAGCAGCCAGCACGCTCCATAATCAACCAAACTGGGAGTGGTTTTAATGAGGGGAATCCCTTCCTTTCTAACTTTATTCTTCTTTCCAAGCTAAATAATATTCCGGGCAGATCTCTCCACCCTCCCTGTATCTGTTTTTCCAATCTATGACCAAATTACGACCTCTGCTTTGTCCTTTAATTCTTGTCAGCAGTCAGCCATCGTGATGGAGCGCAGTGAATGTAAAGGCTAACACCCAAAACAAAGGACAAATCCCTAAACCAATAGAGAAGGAAGTAGGTAGCACCTTTGGGACTGCTATTTCATTTACCAGCTAAGTCTATAAGTCTCTACCCCCCAGATTTGAATGGCTTGTCCATATGGAGCCTATGCTCCAGTTCCAAGTTCATGCAATGGAAATACTGACACAGCCAACCATGCACAGGGCGACAGTGGGGTAGGATGCAGAAGGTCGTTCTGGAGCTGTAGTATCTCTGGTTTGAAACCCAAGTCAGCTTGTCTCAGTAGTTCTGTCCTTGGATGAGACAGTCCCACTGCGATGAGGGCCTGGTGGCGCCTGTGTACAGCAGCCATGCTTCTATCAATTAGCCCCAGGGCAGCTGTGGCTACAATGTAGCTTACCACCATCAGTGTGTGATTGAATGACTGAATGAATGGGGAAGTTTGGAAAATAAGCTATACAAATAGAGATCATTTACCATTTCACACAAAAACAAAAAAAAAACAAAAATCAAATAAGAGTCGACAGTTTTCTTTTTTCACCTGCAGGTTGACTTTTGCATTTCCCCCTAAAAATTAACTCTGTACTTTTCAAGACACCAGAAACCTTACAGACTAAAGTTAAAGCACAAAATGCAAAACATCCATCCATCTTCTTCCTCTTATCTATGAGGGTCACGGTGGGGCTGGTGACTCCAGCAGTCTATGAGCATAAGGCAGGTTCATCGTGAACAGGTTGCCAGT